TCAATGAATTACAGGATTGACAGCACAATGGAGGCAGAAGTTGGTCAAATTATTAACAGCATTTATTACTCAATTGTTCTTCTACATCTTCTTCTAAGCACTACTCGATTTTGTTCTGTATTCAAGCCACTAAAATATATGAAAATATTTGGTGGCAAAAAGTCTATCATTATGGGACTATTAATCATCGCAGTTTGTACGGCTCGTTGGTATGGTTCTCGTTTGTGTAAGTGGTTTTGTCAAATTTTGCGAGCATTGAATTTTTTAGGAAAAAAGTTACTCGCTATAGAAAGCTCATTGTTGTGTTTATTTGCGCAGTCCTTAAATGTGAGTTTCATGATAATAATCATGAAAATAATCATCATGAATTTGGCATTTTTAAGCAGACAATCTGCCCATTATTAATTTTCATTTCTGCGTGAAAATTTGAAAAAATCATTTCGATCGTTCTAAAATTATTCTAAAATTTTTAGATGCGGAATGCATATTTATTTTTCAAAAATCAACATATTCGTGGTACTTCAAGAATGACGATTGTTATAAAATTTTTACTCCATTTGAAATCTATTTTCACGTGCCTGTGTTCATCCTTATTGCTCTTATCGACATTCTTACGTTGCGTCTACTCTTTCTATGGAAAAAGGTTTTTTCAAATATTCATAGTTCTTATTTGATAGTTAGGTCCATGACTGTGGAACTTTTCTGCTATATTACAAAGGTCGTTGGACGATGTTGTTAAATTTTATTTCATTGATCATGCTGAATTTTGCTCAAAAAGAAAAATTCTTTTAAAACACAAAAAATCAACGATTTTTTTTCAGAAAAATAAGACAAATAATCAAATAAAACTTTTTAATGCAGCAAAATTACGATATGAAATAATTTTTTTCTCTCAAGTAAGAAAATATAAAATTGTACGAGAAAAATTTGGAACTAATTTTCTGTCGGAAAATTAATATAATTTTTCATAATTTCTTTTTATTAAATTAAAATAAAAAATTTTTTTTGCTTTTACTATTTACTAAAGTATTTGACTAATAAATATTTCGAAGTTAATAATCTAAAATAAGAGGCAAACCTTATTAAAAGCCGAAACTTTGCCAATTCGCTTAAATTCGTTTAAATTATTACTAAAAATAATTTCAGACATGTGTTAGCAGTTTTTTTTATATCGTCATTTTTATGGTTTATTCTATTCTTCTGAAGATTTTTAAAGGCAAATGGGCAATATTTTTGTTAATTAAGGTTATATGGATGATAGTACCAGGAATTGATGGGTGAATTTTATACAATTTTGTTTCTTTTTTTTTTTGAAAATCGTATGAATTAAATTAAATGAATCGGGATAGAATGGCTCAGTGGCTTGTTGTTCAATTGGGAACGTCGAAACTGAGGTTCGATTCCCCACGGGAGTAAACCTGTACAAAAATCCGGCTGATGCTGGCGACTCACTTATATTTCTACCGCTAAGAGACTCCCTGGCATATTGCCCAATGCGACAATTCAGTGGAGCGAGTTTAATCACTAATGGTGAGGACTCTTTAAAAAAGAAGTACCAGCAATTAATGGGTGAATTTTATACAATTTTGTTTCTTTCTTTCGTTTTTTGAAAATCGTTCGAAATAAATTAAATGAACCACCGTTTCGTTTATTTTCTAAATTGTTCAGCAAATTGAACTCATTTGGCCTAAAATTTTTTCATTTTCACGAATTTGCTCATCCTTCTTTATAAATCTGCTTTCTTATTCGTTGGCTTTTGCCTAACGTCGAGAATTTTATTGAAATTCTAATGAATTAAAGAAACTCCGCGTTATCGTTCTAATTCAACATCTTTCATCATCTTTTCCAGTTTGACTGGTTCCATTTGTTAATGATGGGGAGCGACTTCTATCAAATATCCAAGTAAAAATAGTGTTAAAAATTATTAACGCCGTTCAGATTTCAGTCCCATTTATAAGTTTGTTATTAAGGAGAATAAATCGAATATTGGATTTTGAAGATTAAAAAAATAGACATTTTCCCCTTCCACCCATTTAAAATTTAAAATTCTTACCCATTTTTTAGAGAAAAGGCATCAGTTGCCTGAAATCATATTGCATTAATTATAATTTATCACTAAATTTCTAAGCTTCTTTCCAGAATAATAATCGGATTTGCGCAATGGAACATAGTGTTGCACGCAAAACGAATTGTTGCAGTAAATGTCAGGCAGATACAAATGCACTGAGTTGCCCAATGAATGTGAATACAAAAAATTCAATAAATTTCATAATAATAAAAGGTGTCAAATAGTATTTATGAAAAATGCATTTCAAAGGGGATTCATTTAAATATAATTTTTTATAAAGACAAAATTTGGAATCTAATGAAATTCCTATTGTTGTGACTTTTTCGTTTAGACTGAACGGGGTTTGTAATTACACCACAACAATATAATAATTTTTTATTTTTATTGAATATGGGGACAATAGTTTAGGTAAAACGTGAATTTAAAAAAAAACTGTTTATATTGCAAAGAAAAGAAGAAAAAAAACCCACTCCCACACAACGTTCAAAAAGAAAAAAGTGACCTTTTGATTTTTATAATGATTCATAGTTTCGAGAAAATTCTCGACATTCCCGAGAGGGGAGAAAACAAGAGGAAAGAATTTGGGTTGATAACTTAAAACATTCTTAATGGTAGTTCTTAATTCCTTTTTGTTGTGTTGGTCTTCCCCTAATAAATTCATAGGGATAGCAACGGTTTCTTGATTCGAATTTCTACTACATTTTGGACATAAAGGAAATAAAATCAATTGACAATTTAATTTAACAATAATTAGCACTATCAACAGAATGAGCATACTAGTTCCATCAATAATCATGCGCCAATGTACGGCAAATTCCGAAAGTTCGTTTTGTATCAGTAACGTAGCTTTGCCAATCTCATCATCCAGCTGTTCTGCTAGCTCTTCTCCTTCTTGGCTGATTTCTTGCCAGATAGTTTCCATGTTTTGTTGATGAGATACTGGATTGGGTTTTTGTTTGTCAGCCAATATTTTATTTCCGCATTGGTTCTTTCAATTTCAAATTTGCTTATTATACCAACTTTGAACTCAATCGTGTTTTGTGTGATGTTTCTCAAATTACAAGGAGCAACTAATAAATTGTCATCCACCCTTTTTGCGATGTTGAATGATATTCCAGACCATTTACAGGTTTTTGTTGCTAATGTTCTTGTCGACATTATGGATAGAACTGTTACTAACATACATAACATTGTGAAACTTGACTTACTCCTAAGGCTTATTGGATTTCGTTGTTGTTTTGCCAAACTTCTAGTTCGTCGCGCTATTGGTTCTTCATTTTCGATGGGTTCTTCGTCCTTTGCATTCGTTAATTCAGTTGCAGAATCTTTGGGTTGATCTTCTTGTTCCACTTCCAGAGGATATAACATATTAACTGGTCTATTGAGAAGTTTCCCAAAATTCTATCTGAACACTCCTGACATTTCCATCGCTACTCTTGTTAAGTTTATTTATCTTTGCCAGTTTCCACATTCCGCGAGGGATATGTGGTTCATTTACTAGTACGATTTCTCCTAGGGAAGGTGGTCGTATTATTGCGCTTCTAGGAGATTTGTGTTTTATTTGTGTACGTTCCCTTAAACTATTTAAGTACTCATCTTTCCAAATTTCCCAAAATACATCAAGAGTTTCAAGAGTTTTTGACCAATATTTAATAAGCTTATCATAAGTGGTTAACTCATGTGGAATAAATTCATCATCATCACTGTTATTACTCATTGGTATATTTAGTAAGGCATTGGGGGAAATAAAATCCACAGGACGTAAAATTATTGAATCATCAAAATTCACGTAAGTTAATGGGCGAGTATTCATAATACTCTCTATTTCGATCGCTA